GCAGCAAGAGACGGATTATGGAGAGGGCGAGTTAGGAGCTAAAGAATCACAGGACAAGCAAATTGAATATTTACTGGCAAATAATTGCTCTCTTAAGCTATGGCACTCTTCCTAAATTCTTGGCATTCCTGAGCACTCAAAACATTTAAAAAAATGCCTCTTTACAGAGTAGATGTAAAAAAACCCTCAAAGGCTGATTTTACAGACTTGCGCAGGTAAGAACGTGTGCGTTACTGCATATTTTTCTTCTGAAGCTTTAGATTGTTCCGTTGTTTGTAGGAATGTTGCTTTATTTTCCTGTTTCGAAGAGAAAGTTGATATTTTGGTCTCCCAGCTATATTTGCTCTAGAAGTTGCTGYGGTGTAGATACTCTTCTAGATTTAGCATATGCTTTTGTGTCGGCACGGAAATATCCATGTACAAGAAAAGAAAAGTAACTTTGGGGAGAAAGTGTATGGCACAGTTTTATTTGGTTTATATGGATGATGGCTTTTATAGACRTACCTATAACTGAAAAGCTGCCTGGTAGCCTAATGTGGGGCAGAAACAGCTGCCCTTCTATGCTTGCATTTCARTGTAGTCTAAGTTCCTTGGAGGAAAGTTTGTCAGGGTCTGCAGGGATGGAGCTTTTTCTGAGAAGCTCTTTGAGACTGCCTGCATCTGTAATTTTTCTATAACCTGACTCTGTCAGGATATTTGATTTCTGGGATCCCRCTCTGCTCCTGTGTGCAATTTGCACGCCTGTTGCCATTTCCTTTCATTTTTGAATTTGACCACTTTCAACCAAGTTTGATGGATAAAAGTCTTTACAATACCTGAGTGTCCACGAGTTCTGTGTAAATAGGCAGCTGATAAAAGGGGAAAAGCTCTTTTAATGACCCCCCTGAGGGGGGCTTGCCTCACATTTTCACCCCAAATTATACACTAGGGACCCCCAGGTAGACAGTAATCCATGAGAAAAGAGGCTCTGTCTGTGAATTGGCTAAATTTCACTGAGAACTTGCTTTTTTCCACATTCCACAGCTTGTGATGGTAAAAAGGCATRTTAGATGTTGGAGATCGATACATAATTAAGACGACTTTGTCTTAAAATAAGATTCTTACTCCTCTTTTAATCATTGAATGGCAGAAGTAGAGAAGGCTGTAGAGAAGACTAGTGCTGCCTGGAGATGTTGCAAAGATCTCCATCCAAATGGATGGAGGCTTCAGCATGCACGGTACCTCCAGACTTGGTGTTTAAAAGGACAGCAGCATTAGCATCTTTTGTCAACCCTACAAAATATTCTTCTTTCTTTCTGGCCCCTTTTCATCAAGTGCATGAAAAGGAATGGCCAAAACAATACCCCTTTTACCAGTAAATGAAAGCAGCATGTATCCCAGAGAAGCAGGCATGTTCCTTTGATTTTTACAAGGATTTTATTTTGGTTGTAACACTCTGTCACATAGGGTGTCCAAGCTTGAACATTCATTTGTTGAATGAACTTCTGTGCTGTTTAGAACTGCTGTGGGAAGCCCCAAAGTCAGCATCACAGGACATAGTATCAGGTCCTTCAGAAAAGATGGTGCAGTTCCAGTAAAGCTTAATAAGGACTTAACCTTTTCCACAGCGGGAGCTTCTCCTGAAGAGGTATCAAATTGAAGTTGGCTTGTGCCCAGAAACATGGGCAGTTTTCAGTCCTCATACTTTATTGTACTATAGCTTCTGTTTATTCTGTAGTATGCTATTTCTCTAATATATTTAATCATTATTCTAATGATTTTATTGTTGTTATTGTTATAGTAATAATTAGTCCTTTTTAAACTCTTCTATACTCTTGGCCCTTCTGATGTCTTGGGTACAGAGTACTGCAAGTTAATTATGTAGTATGTGAATGAAAAATAATAATCTTATTATTGATTTTAATGGTCTGCCTTTTAGTTTTAATGATGGTCCCTGCTTTTCTTGTGAGGTCAGACTTATTTTATTTTCTCTATGCAGCTACATTTGTATCACTCCTACTACATTTGGTCTCCTCTCCTCTCCTCTCCTCTCCTCTCCTCTCCTCTCCTCTCCTCTCCTCTCCTCTCCTCTCCTCTCCTCTCCTCTCCTCTCCTCTCCTCTCCTCTCCTCTCCTCTCTTCTTTTTTCATCTCCTTTCTTCTCCTTTCTTCTTCTTTCCTCTCCTCTCCTCTCTTGAATTGAAGAGAATTTCCCTCTTTTTTTTTTTTTTTTTTTGCCTATGGAGAGCTCTTGAGGACTCTAATAAGTCTTTGTACTCTCTGAACCCTTTGTGTTTCTTCTATATCCTGTTTGAGACAGGGTCATCAGGGTTGACTGCAAAATCCAAAGTGGTGGCTTAACACCARCTTATGTAACAGTATTATGGTAGTCACCAAAGTATTTCCTTCGCCCCACCAGGCCGTACAAGGCATGGAACAATGCACAAAATCACTGTTTCTTTTTCTTGATTTGGGTTACATGAGCTTATTGTGCCTCGGCAGATGAAAGCAGTGCAAATTATTTCTTCATTTACGATAGCAGGAGAGGCTGACTATGGAATGCTTTGGAAAGGCTTCCAAAGTCAAGGCAGAAACGTGTGAAGAGGATCTCTGTACCTTGCGTGCCGTTAACTGGAAGGCTTCCATAAGAGGGTGATGGCTGAAATGAGAAGGAAGTACAGCTTGTTCTGTGGCTCCTAGACCATCTGCAAGGCACTTGCAGGAGAGRAGAGGATGCCAAACAAACCCACAAAAGTGATATAGTGGAAGCATGAATCAGTCTTTGGTCTACTCTTACTGGGAAAAACAGGCAAAGTCTGGGACTGTGCCTTGGGTGGCACTATGACACTTCATTCATTGGAAAGATATGAATTTCAAGACCAGCAGTCACACTAAAAAGTCTAGAACAGGCCTTTTTATTTATTTTTTATTTTTTTTTTCCAATTTAGATTGTCAATTTTTGTCTTTTTATTTCTGCTGATATTTAGGTGCATGTTATAAAAACGTATAATAAGAAGTCTCTAGGTCCAAGCAGAGCACATCAAGTTGGCTTTGCTGAAAGCAAGTGAGTTTTATTCCCATTCCTCTTCTGTCACTTAGCCCTTTTTTTTCCCCCCTTTTTTACTTTTTTTCTTGCCTGTCTCTGCCCTTCACACAGAATTTTCTTCCTGAGTAAAAAATCTGACTGGCCCAATATATTTTACTACAGTGTAAATGATCAGTATTAAGGTGATAAAAYGTACTTTACTGCCTCTCACTTGCCCAAGAAATAACAAATAGGTTTTGAAACGCAGATGGTTGAATGGAGAGCCCAGAGGTATCACAGAGCTAACAGGTGCAGCTCCCTCTTCTGATGTCGTAATGCAAAGAAATCGTGATTTCCCAGAAAAATCAGGAAAAGAGGAACTTAAGAGTCCTAATACATATGTTTTTAAATTGTGTCTCTGGTAGATATTGCAGGAGCTGCATTCATGCACTGAAGGTAGCCAGCCCTTGCTAAGAGCAAGGCTCGCTTCCTGGCTAAGGCAGTGTTGAAGGTAGAGCCTTGCACTGGATTCTGGTGTGGTCATTGACTGTAATTTGCACAATTTGTTTTATGTCTGTTTTTATTCCTGTTCTCCCATGCCATCCCCCTGGAAAAAACGTGGAGCACTAGCTGAGAATAACTAATGTGTGCTTCTGCAGATCATAGCGAGCCTTGCATAGGAAAAGACAGGGAAAGAACAGAAGAAAAAGTGTGTTACTATCGAAACTAAATACTAAGGCAATGCAAAACACATCTCTGACATGTGTAGAATAAACTGTTTAATACCTGAAGAGATCCTTAAGCAATACAACATATGTCAAGTCCTTGGTGAAGAAGGAAAAATCACACCACTACCATTTCATCTTTAATATGGGGCTGTCAAAATTGATTGACGGCATTCCAGTGGTTAAAGACTTACATCTGTACTCCCTCAGTTCCTCACATTTTGATAGTGCTTCTGTGAGCTATTGATAATTTGGGGTGCAATTTATTCCGATTTTTGTTCACACTACCATAAATCCCAACTCAGAATGAAAATGGTCAGAGAATATAAATGTTTCATTATTAATGAAGTCATTAGGCCCTAATTTTGTGTTTTTAAGCTTGACTTGTCCCACTGAAATCCTTGGCATGTGCTTAATGAATCAGGGCTATAGCGCAGGGCTGAGAGCTCTTCACTGTCATGGGTGCCACGGGACCTCTTAAACACAGTTGAGCCGAGGACAGCAGAGGACTTTCAAGTGGTATCTCCTCTTTCTRGAGATGGGAATGGTTATCCTGGCAGAAGCTAAGTAATCTATACACAGCCACCGAATGACTCTGTCAATGGCTGGAGGTAGCAAACAAGTAAACAGACCTTATCTTTTTGCCTTCTGATCTGAGTACTAGAGCATAATTCGGGGCAAACTAAAGGTGAAGAAACCAGAAGTATAACTAATCAGCTGGTAGTTAGAAATGAGGAACTGGCAAATAGTGAAAATTCTCCTCACTGCCCACATGCTAAGTATCAAAGACTTGAAATTCTAGGTTGCAAGAAAAGTGCTTTAGTGAATTAAATCCTATTAGAAAACAAGCTCATAATAATTGTAGTAACATAATAAAAAGCAATGAGTGCAGGAATGAGAGGGTATTACAGATCAATAATTTTATGCAAACATTTTTCTCGGACAAAGTCAAGGAGTCTGGTGCATTGTATACATAAATGTTCCATAAAAAGAATTTTCCATTAGTCATCAGATCGGAACAAAGTTTATAGAAGTTGGAAAAGCAAGTCATAAGAACTGTAAAACATTCTGAAAAGTGAAAAAGAAGAATAGAATGGAAAACTCGGTGAGCTGTTGAAAGAAGCGGGAAGCAACAGATAGGGAGAGATTTTTCTTCTCCTTTTGTTTAAAAGATGGAGTCTTGATGGAAAGTTAAGGTGGGAGAATACTATAACCGACTGTGAATATACGATACTGCTAGAGAAAAAATTGCTCTGCTGTTCCTATTTTCAGACAAATTGGCTTGGTGGTCCTGGTCCGTCGCTTCCACACAATTATCAAGTGAAGTGCAGGAGATCTCCCTCAGCTGTAAGTAGTAATGAGGCTTAAGCATTTCTTTGCACATTGCTGCCAGAAAGCGACCTTTCCCACTGGAAGGCTCGCCTTTTCATTATGAAGGTGTTACTGCTTTTCTGCATATTTGAAGTATCCTCTCACTCTGTGACAACAGAAAATTTGCACTAACAGAAGTCCCCAAGAGCTTCTTTGACCTCGATGGGAAAGGTGGTGAGCAGTAGGACTTCCAATGAAGAGTGTATGGCAGCAGGAACTTCGAAGGAGAGCRAAGGAATGGGCACATTTAGGATTATACTCAGGATGTTACATAAATGATGGGAAAAAAAAGCACTAATAGGAGGTGCTGCTGGAAGGAAAGGGCATGGTGGCGTGAGTCAGTCCTCACAAAATGACCCTTGAAATGAGATGGRTAAAAGGTGTAAAAGGAGTACACAGGCTGTAAGCACTCTGAGGAAGTGCGACTATGAGGCAGATTTACCTGGGATTTTTGTGCTAGCAGGAGGACAAATTTAGGGGAAGGAGGACTTTTAATGATCAAACAGCACAGCTCAAAGCTGCGCTAGTTTTATGTGTATGAATGATAGGCAGTGGTGAAACAGAGTACAGCAGAATCTTAAACCCATAGATTGTGACCGGCCAAATTACAGCCAGATTTATGCTCTCTGCAGCTATAGCTCAGATTGGGCTGTGGTTTTTTATTTTTTCATCACCTTTTTTTCCCAGTTTATTTTGTGGTATGTATCATTCCTCTAATTGTGTTCTTTGTTGTTTCTCTCCTGACATGTTAAATCCCACAGCACTGCCTAGTCTTGATGTTTTCCTTCTCTTTCAAAGTGTCCCAAGAGAGAGAAGCAAGGAAGGTATATGTATTTGACTTTGAAAAAGGAGTTGATGCCAGTTGCAAAAGAAATAAAACATATCAGAGGGGTCTGCTGGGGGGTGGGAAGGGAAAATATTGCTCATTTGTAACAAAAGATCGCCTTGAAGACTGCTTCAGCTTGATCAGTTTGAAACCCCTCTCTCACTCGTTCCATTACAAAGGCTTTTATGTTGCTGTTTCTTTTGGAAAAGTACTTCATCTCTTTGAAAYTACATCCAAGGCTCCCCGAACGTGCAGCTTGCTTTTGGGCCCAGTGCAGGTGAGCTGTGCGCCGGGGTCGCATTGCGGAGCGATTAGAATATACATTAGGAGAATATACATTAGTAGTGGGGCTTTCAGCTCGGGGCCGGGCCCACGGGGCCCGAGGAGACGTGATGTTCCTGCTGGTGAGACGCGCGTGGCTTCTGCGGGGCCTCCCGACGTCGGGCCATGTGGGCAGCACCGTCGGAAGGGCAGTGCAGGGCCCCAGCTTCTCCCCCGCCTCGGAGAGTGAGCATGGAATTAGGCCCGGGGATAGGTCACTGCCGGGCAGGAATTGCGTGAGGGAAGCTCAGCCTCAGCACGTACAACCTGCCTCCACAGGGCTCCTGTGGTAGGAGGCAGGGCCTGAGGGCCTGAATTCTGCGTGAAGGCAGGACAGGAGTGGTGTGAGCCGTCCTGCCTTGCACATCTGTAACTCCTTCAGAGATGATCATTCCCTTAGAGCACCTGTTGGGGAATGTTCCTGGGGCTGATCCGTACAGAGCCTTGCTGTATTAATTCAAGCGCTCCGTGAGCCGCGGCCGAATATCCATGCCCAAATTCCCCATGGCTTCCTGTAGTCACGACTCGGCTTCCTGCTGTGCTTGTTCCTTCCCTGCTCCCAGCGAATCCCTCCTCTCTTCTGAGCTTCTAGCTCCAGTTTCCAGTTTGCGGCACAAAACTTTCTTTGCAGTGCACAGCCGTGGGGCTCGGTACSAACTTTTCATTTAGGTATTGAAAGTTTAACCTAGCTTTAAAATACTGCTCCCTTACTGATATGTAGAAAGAAATTAAATGGTCAGTCTACAACAGAAAAGTACAACCTTTAAATTAGTAGTAGTCATCCCTGGTATGCCTTAAAAGTTTTTTTTTTTCTTTTTTTTTTAATGTGTTTATCTATTTGTATCAACTACTGTTGCTTTTATTTTCAGTGTAGAAATCTTGCAGGTTTTTGAAATTTTCCTTCTCCAATAAACCATCATGTAAGGTTAGCTCAAGTGAGCTGCTGCCAGCAGGTAATTTCCTTCTACTGCAAATGAGCTTTGTGTTTCACACAGACTAAGCACTGCGGCAGCTCTACTAACAGCCCCGTGAGTCCGGAACCATCTGAGTGAAGGGGMCACAGGATTTCACATTGGTAGATTATGGATATGGGAAGAGGCTTCGTTTCCCYGCCTGGATGCCACCCTGTGCCCCGTGCTCTGGGTGTCCCTGCTGGAGCAGGGGGTTGGACTAGATGATCTCTAGGGGTCGCTTCCAACCTCAACCATCCTGTGATCCTGACAGGATATCCCCTTTAATACAATAGCCTGTAGCCTGTCACCATATGCAGAGATGCCTTAACAACAAGGCRGTGCTTTGGGGTTAAAGACTAGAGCTGGAAGGGAAAAGGCACAAGTTCTGTTCTTCAGACGCGATGAGTGAACGCAATGAACTGATTATAACTTCTGTGTCTCAAATGCCTTATGTCTGAGGGAATAATAAAAATACATATTTCCTTTGGAGGGGAGCTGAGATACTTCATCCGTTTGGAAACCGTTTTTCTCTTTTAGGAGACGGATGTTTTACCTATTTCCATGAAAAATTGTAAATGTTTCAGAAACAATTAATGAAGCTTCCTGACAGCCTCTTGGGTGAGGAAATATGATTGCTGTGGGAAAACTGAGGCAAAAATCTGTCATGTGAATATTTTATTTTAATAGTTAATGAACAGGGAAAAAGAAAGTAATGCTGTAAAACACATGAGCAAGATTGTGGAACACTTTGGCAGAGAAAGGTTCTGGGATAAATTTTATCCCGATTGGCACCTTGTGAAGGTCAAAGTGTCTACTCAGTGTATAAGTCAGAATTAAATTTGGCTTGTGGTGTATATGGAATCAGAACTTCTTAGTATACATAATTTGAAAGTACACATAATGCGTAAGGCAGTCTTGTATAACAGAAGCACATACTTTGTCAGGAGACTGCATAGAAAGATAAACTTCCTTTGGTTTCACATCGACAAGAATGCCAGCGCTTTTTACGTGAAGACCTCAAAAGTTTTTCAGTAAACAATACCTAATCCCCAGATAGCATGCCTCTTCAGTAGATCTCAAAAGAGCTTGATCAAAATATACCACACCATTTCAGCTTGTTTGTATAGTATATAATTAGCATTTCCTATTTAGTTGTTTGGAAATAGAGACTCAGAGAAGTGAAGTAGGCCACCCAGCAAATAGAGTGGCAGTTGAGGAAGAAAAGCCAGATGCCCTGACCCTTGGCTCTCTATTTAAATCCAAAGATCATTAGTCTTTGGAAGCACGCAGATGTCCTTACAGTGCAATTTGGTTTGTGCAGAATGTCTTACTTAAGGTGACCCACTTGTTTTGACTCTTTCACCATCCCAAGACCAAGGTCTTCAAGTCATAGGTAGAGTCAAACCTGCCTTTTTTTTCTGTTCTGTTAGATTTTAGTCTGAACACATAGCAAGTAACATTTAAAACTACATTTACATTATGCTCCTGGCAGATTGTAATTATGTAAATATGTATATAGCCATATACACTGAATAGTTAACTATAATATCTATAGCAGTCACTTTTCTCCATTAGACTTCTGTACCTTTATATGCCAGCCATTCAGTACGTAACTGCATCTGTAACTAAGTCAAGCATATTGTAAAAGAARAAAAAAAGGGAAGCTTCAGCTCATAAGACATGAAAAATTTATGGTGAAAAAGACAGGACCACCCGTAAGTATCAGGTACACACTGRCACTGTATGATTATTTCAGATCTTAGGGCATCTTTTAGGGTAAGCTTTTCCAAAGTGTTCAGCAGTGACTTCAGTTTATACCCACTGAAGTAAATGGAAGCTTTATTTTATGCTTCAGTTGGAGGGGGAAAATACTCAATACTGTGAAAATCTCACCCCTAAGTAAAAACAGGTTCATGTCAATGTTTAAAAAAACAGAATAGCCCATTGCCATCTCTACTTGTGTTGTTTTGAAAGAGATAAGGGAAGACCATGAGTGGAAATGGATATTACTTCGTAACTAAGGAGAGCTGGTACTTTCCAGCACACTCTTCTTATATCTAAATTATAAATTCTTATATCTAAATAGTTGTTTCCTTAGTCATCCTGCAGCCCAGCTCATCTGTGCACGCAAAGACGTTTGCCCCTTGCCTTTTTAGACCCTGAAGTTGTCAAGTAGGTTAGCCAAGGACCTTTTTCACTTGCCCTGACTTGCAGCACAAATAGAAATTCTGTGAGGTTCCCCTGGGAGAGAAAGGTGAGTGAGGGGATCACTGCTAGTCTGAGCTCAGGAATGAGAGGCTGGACTCTGGGATTAACTCCCCATCTCTGACACGAGTTTTGCACCGCTCATCTGCTCATCTCAGTGTTCTCTGATTCCAAAGTTGTCTAGATACCATGTGTGGCTGATCCCTGATTACACAGTAGTGTTAGTAAGAGTTATACTGGTTTTGCTGAATTTCTGTGCTTCAAAGTGCGTGAAATGGCTGCAGTTTTCTCTGGCACTCAAAATCTGAGTGGTCCTTTGTTTTGAAGAAGATGGGGAACCCACTTGCTAGCAACGTTCRTGGCAGAAGCACATGAGCCATCCACTGCTGTTGCAGTCGTGCTGGAGGTTGAATTTAGGAAAAGCGGTACATCAGAGGCAGACTTAAGTCAGAGAAGATCTGGCTACTAACTGATCTTTACTCTTTAGAAACAGGCATTTGCATTCTTTGGATCCCCAAGTTGTAAATCATAAGGGAGAATCATCATTCTGAAAGCTATGCTTATTCTCAGCATGGTGTGTGTGGTGAAGAAGGCATTGAAAGAAAGCATTAAGGCTAGGATAACATCAAAGAAAGTGCTTCAATTTTT